GGGTGGAAAGGAGGAGTGTGCTGTCACAGTATAGGGAGAGCAGTTAGGGTCACATAACAATATATGTTTAAATTTTTGTATAAGAGAGTAACTTGAAATGTAAACTTTCACTTAAACTACAATAATAAACAACAACAGCAAAAAATTGTGTATACAGCAGAGTCTTTGACTAGAATAAGGAGATAACTTTTCTGCTATTGATTTCCTTAATCCACTTTTCGTATAAAGTTCTAGAAAGTGTCCCAAAGCTGAAGACCTAGTAGCATTTTTTTCTCCTTCAACTTTATTTCAAAGGCAAACACATATCCTTCTTTATGTGAATCTTATGTTTTCAATTATGTCACTACTTTGGAGTTTTGACAAGAAGTACAGGTCTGTGTTTGGTGCACTAGGTTCACTAATGATGTTGGGTAACCCTCTTGAGAAGTGAGTTAATAGAATTCATTTGACAGGTCTACAAGAGATGAAAGTAAGTTGTTAGTGGTGGTGTTTTTCCAAATCTCTTCTCTGTTAGTTACTAAGTCTAAGCTTTGCAGGCATAGCTAGAAGGGCTAGTAATTTTATGGGGAGGGAATTTGGTTCAATTAAACATTTATTGAGCACTTACTGTGTACCAGTCTCTATACTAATCATTTGAAGCCAAGAAGAATGGTACAGATTGTCTAGATACCACCCAGTGTTCAAAGTGGTGTTGATTCTGGTAAATACAATAGAATCCAATGTAAATGCGTTGGATTCCACTGAAAGTCTGGATGATAGACCTGGATGAAAGGGATTGCCAGGTCTGTAAAATGAGTATAGTGTTTCATCCAGGCTACTCTGCTTATTAGCCATGTGACTTTGGGTGAGTTATTTAACTTCTCTGATCCTCGTCTAAAGTAGGAGTGGAAATGCCTCCTAGGACTGATACGGTAGTGAAGTAGATGGCAGGTATGCACAGTGTCTGGAACAGTGTTGAGCTCTTGTGGTCTGCTTGGCATGCAGGGGAGGCATGAAGGAACAAGAGTATAGTGTAACCTGAACAAATCTGAAGACAGCAGGCAAACAGATGGGAAAATAAATTCAGTTAAAAGACTTGACTATAAGGGAAAGATTAAATAGTTTTTCATGTATCATAGAGGGAAAGGAAACTGTCCCATCTTTAAATATAGTGCCTGGTATTTCACTCATAGGTAAAAGTACTTTGATGATTTTTGTGACCATGCACTGACATGGATTTACTGAAGTACTTTTAACTCTAAGAATCAAAGGAGTTTCAAAAGTATGGTTAAAGAATTTAGCCCTTTACAACACTCTGTGTTGCTTTAGCTCTTGGAGCTATGTTACACAGTAGGGATCAATGGACCCCAGTATGTTGCAATATGTGACACCCTTCTGTTTAGGCAGATACGCTATTTCACAGAAGGGTTTGCTCGCTGTGGAGCCCCAGGAAGCTTTGGGAGCTGATGGAGTAACAGCTATAAGGCTGGCTCTGGTGCAGGCCCCCAGAAGGCTCTGGAACGAAGAGTGGTGAGCAGGGCTGTCCAGGCAGCTGACTGCTCCCGCCTGGCCTTCTCATCAGCCCACCACTCCTTCTCTCCCCAGATGGTCACCGTAGCGTCACTGCTGAGCAATGAAGTTAACAAATGTTTTAATTTCACTGCTGAGTAGTTCTGCAGAAGGGGAGACAGCAGCGAGGATAATGAGAAGCAGCTCAGATGCCACCATTGATGGAAGCTTCTCTCTCCCCCCACTGGCTCAAACAGTAATGCTAGACAAATTGGATACTGAGAGAGGTAGATTTGGGATGTTTGGAGAGCTTCAGGTGAAAAAAAAAAGGGAAAAAAAAAAAAAAAAAAAAAACCCTGGCTTAGGATAGAATGAGATAACTGTGCTGTATCAATTAAGATACACAAAAGAAAGGAAGGAAGGAACAAAAGGGAAGATAAAAAGAAACGTTAACTCTGGGTATTAGCAGTGATATCTATTGCTGTGTAACAAATCACTCTAAAATCAGCAGTTTAAAATAACAAAAATTTTATCAGTTCAGTTTCTGTGGGTCAGAATCTGGGTGTGGCTTAGCCTACTCCTCTGGCTCAGGGTCCCTCATAAGGCTGCACTCCAGGTGTCAGCCAGAGCTGCAGTCACCTCAAGGCTCACCTGGAGGGGTATCTGCTTCTAAGCTCACTCAGAGGGCTGTTGGCAGATCCCCCTTCCAAGCATTCTGTCTTAGTCATCTAGTGCTGCTATAACAGAAATAACACAAGTGGATGGCTTTAACAAAAGAGAAATTTATTTTCTCATAGTCTAGTAGGCTAGAAGTCTAGACTCAGGGCATCAGCTCCAGGAGAAGTCTTTCTCTCTTTGTCAGCTCTGGAGGAAGGTCCTTACCATCAGTCTTCCCTTGGTCTGGGAGCATCTCAGCACGGGAACCTCAGGTCCAAAGGACGCACTCTGCTCCTGGCACTGCTTTCTTGGTGGTATGAGGTCCCCCTGTCTCTCTGCTCACTTCTCTCTTTTATATCTCAAGAGATTGCCTTAGGACACAGTCCAGTCTTGTAGACTGGCTCCTGCTTGAATAACACAACTGCCGCCCATCCTCCCTCATTATCATCGTAGAGGCAGGATTTACAACATATAGGAAAATCACACAATACCGGGAGTCATGGCTCAGCCAAATTGATACACACATTTTTTGGGGGACATAATTCAATCCATGACACATACTCACTGATTGTTGGCCAGAGATATCAGTTCCTTGCCATGGAGTCTCTTGATGCAGCTCACAACATGGCAGCTTGCTTCCCCCGGAGCAAGGGCTGAGAGAGAGGAGGTGGAAGTGTGTTACAGTCATTATGTAACCTTAACCTTAGAAGTGGCATCCCATTGCTTTTACTGTATTTTCTTCCTTAGAAGTAAGTCATTAAGTCTAGTCCAAGGACATGAAAACCAGGAGGCAGGGGTCATTGGAAGCCATTTTAGTGGTTGTCTACCACAGGGTCCCTACTGCTTTCAGGAAGAAGATATTCTAAAGAGATTATAGGCCAACTAACAAAAGCATAACAAGTTAAATTAATGTGACCAGAGGGGATTAAGTGTTCAACAGCTGTCTTTATCTCATTTGTTTATTATTTTTTAAATAGAGTTACCTTAGATTCATGGAAGTTACTTACTCCAGTGAAATTTTAATGTGGATTGCTAAACTGTGTTGTATCTAAGTTTTGTTTAGCTCTGTACAGCCATTCTGTGATCAGGAAACAAGCTAAAGCAAAGCTAAGAAACCCACAAAGGTCTAACTTATTTATAATTCCTATTTATTTGAGAGGAGCAAGGAGATAAAATCTCTTTAAACAAGAATTTTAAACACCTAATTACTACCAAAATTTGTAATAACAGCTGTCTAGCTAGACTTTGCAAATGTAGGCGTTTATGAGATCCTTTCATGTGTTTCCGGGGTATGTATGTGGTAACTGTTAACTTTTTGCTCTATGAAGACTTTCTCATGAGAAAACATTTTTTTTTTAATTTTCTTTTATAGTATTGCCACTAAAAAACATCAAAGGTAGGTTGTAGTTTTGCCAAGTAGAAATATGAAGACTATATATGAATATAGAAATGAAATTAAGTTTTGAATTTCAAATCTTTTCAAATAAATTCATTATTGTTAAAATAGAGAGATGAAACCTGCCTTCCAAACGGCCTTCTTCCCGTTTGTGTGAGAGGCATTCTATTGAGCCAAAGAAAGAAATGCGAATTTTATTGATTTTACACTGGGGTTGTTGTTATGTTCGAACTTTATGTTTAAGAGAGTCCAGGGGGCGAGTTGGGTTTTAAGTATGTGGTGCCAAGCCTTCTGGAGGCTAAGGCATATCTAGCAGAAAAGTGTGGCTGTAGATTGAAACTGAGCTCAGGATTAGAGAGCAAGTTTGAAGGGTTATCTGCATAAAGGTGATAGGTATAGCTGTATCTGTGAGAGAGCTTTTCAAGAGGGAAAGTATAAAGAGAAAAATATTAAAGGTTGAGACCAGTTTTAAATACTGATTATGGTTATGGATTTAGAGGAGGAACTAATGAGGAAGGCTGAACAGGAGTGGTTAGAAAGGTACGTTCTCACCCAGGATGCTGCCTGCAGCATTACTGCGATCAGAAGAGAATTGTGATAGAGGCAAGAGTAACTCCAAATGCCATGGAAAGGTCAGGTGGCTTAAGGCCCTTGTGGAAGCAGTGTTGGTGAGGGGATTTTTTTTTTTTTAAAAAAACACTTAGAAGAAGCTTTGAAGCCCCTCCAGGTTAGAAAGAATCATTAGCGTGGTATAATTGATATGTGAATGATATGTTCTTGCAACTGGCAACTACAAACCAACACGTTGTTAGCCTAAATTGAGTTACAGAATATATCTAAAATAATAAGTCCCCATTTCTTTCATACATAGTGTAAATGATTTAAAGTGTTCTTTCTTCCTAAATTGTGAGGTTTAATTGCATTTTCAGATAATAAAATGACAGTTCGTGCAATTTGAAAGTCAGATACCCTTGCCCAAGAAACATTCAAAATGTCTTAAGATTTAGAAAAGTTATGTTTAGGTAAGAAGTGCATCTGACTGAGTTTGTTAAAAATTCACTGAACACCTACTACGTGCCAGGCTGTGCTAATTGCTGAGGGTACAGAGCTGTAGAAAGCATGGTCCCTGTCCTCAAGAAGTCTAGTAGGAGAAAACAAATAAATAATTATAGTATGGTATGTGCAGCACTAAAAGCAGTAAAGAGGAAGGGGGAGGTGTGTGGCTGGGAAAGGCATCCTGTAAGAGGTAGCCCCTGAGCAAGGTTATAGAGTGGAACCAGAGTCCTCCAGAGGACAGGGATGCAAGCATGTGACAGTGGGGTTGGTTGGTTGGAACTGCTGCTGGGGAAGAAGTGTGGTGGGTGAGGAGGTGCTGGAGAGGTAGGCAGGGATCAAATTTTTGAGGGCCTTGCTTGCCAAATCCAAGGAGCATGTAGGCTAATCTCTCTTTCTTCCACAGACCATGATGGAATGCCTTGAGGCTGAAGAAGGACCCTCAGCATTCCAGAGAATACTGGGTAAAGTAAGAGATGAGAGCGTGGATGTTCAGAATGTTGTGTCCCTATTGAGACTGTACCAAGATTCTAATCCTGCAGTGAAAACAGTACTGTTGGGCAAAAAGCCAGAAGATGTAGCAGCAGTGCAGCCAAAAGGTAGGAGAAAACCCCATCCGCTTGGATGACTGAGTTCTGTTCTGGGAAGAGGCTGTAAAGTTGGTCCAATGACACATTTCTTTGGTGGCTTAGTCAGCTGGTTTTTACATAAGTTCTATATGTAATTCCAAAAGCTCCATGTTAAATATATACAGACTAAATTTGAGTCTCCATCCCTACCCCCTAGTTAACTAGTCTGACACCTTGAAGTTGGAGAATACCAGCCTTGTTCTCCAGCCCTTCAAAAAGCCACACATCTAAATCAATGAGAGCCCAGGGTGAGGTGGTTCGCTGACAGCACTTAAAGGCTTAAGTTTCTCTCATTTGGGTTAGGTACAAAGCAGTGGCCTTGCCAACCAGAAGTTAACCTCTAGCTGGCTCTGCAGCTTTGTGTTTCGACAGATAAATGAAACATTTTTCCTTTCATAGAGTTTAAACAGAATAATAAAGTATTTTCCTCTGCTAAAAGAGAGCCTGCATTCGGGTGCTCAGAATAAGCTGAGAATCACTTTGCTATTCTGTTAGATCTCTCTTGACAAACCACGCTGTCATTTTCTTCAAATTGACTAGCTTCTGTTGTGCATCTCTAACTCTTTCTCCCCCAGGGAGCACAGAGGAGGGAAAGACCTTGTCTGTTCTGTTACTAGAACACAAAGACGACCTGATACGGTGTGTAACACAGCTGAGACCTATCATGGAGTTCCTGGAAACCGCCAGGGAAGAATTCCTGACTGGCACTGAGAAGAGGGTAACCGTGGAGAGTTTATCTCTTCGCCTTTCTAAACTCAAGTAGCACTGTTTAAGCTCTTTTGTGACACATAGCACTTTTTACCTTGTAGTATTTTTATCTGTACTGCATAGTAAGCATCTCGAAGTTAGAATTCTTGTCATGCCTCTTTGTATCCCTTGCAGCAGCTTGCTGAGGGCCTTGCACACTGTAGCCATACAGTAAATGTTTGGACAGACGGATGGATGAATGGATGGATGGATAAATATGTAATATTCCTGCCCTGACTCAATGAGTTTTTACTATAAAACAGCTACACCAACAGTTAAAATGTTAAAGCACATTTCTAATTATTATCTTTTGTAATTTGTAATTATTATATTTTTCCTCTTTACAAAAAATGGTACATTGTTCATCTGTAGAAAATTTGGAAAATAAGCAAAAAGAAAAAACATTCAAACCTCTTAAATGATTTCACCACTCAGAGGTGATCACTGCTAACATTTGGAGCATGTGCCCCCATTCTTTCTCTTTTGAGTCATCCTAGGATGGTGTTTTCTGGAACATATAGTTTTGTAACTTGGTTTTTTATTTAATATATTGTGAATATATGTTCCTACCTATAATAGGGATTTGTAGCTATATTGTCTTCTGTCTAACAGTTGTATCATAATTCATTAATTCTTTATTGTTGGGCATTTTTCCAAATTTTTGCTGTTATAAATCACATTGTACAGAACATCCTTGCATACAAAGCTTTGTGTACTTCTCCAGTTATTTCCTTAGAATAATTTCTAAGAAGTAGAATTTTGGAGTAGAGAGTAGAAAAATTTTCCAGTGTTTGGTACCTATTGCCAAATTGCCCTTCAGGAAGGTTGTACCAATTTATTCTCCCACCAGCTAGCTACTAAAGTCCCTGAAAGCTGCCGGCATGACTTCTCAAGGCAACTGGCTAACTGTATTTGTTGGTGTTATTGATTTCAACTTTGTGCTAAAAATATTTTTATATCTTGAAGGAAGGAATGGGGTAGAGAACTTTTGTGGCATCCATTCTTAAAACTGTGGGAAGTGGCTTAAATGTTCAGGAGAGATAACGTTTAGAAACCACTTCTATAATGGCTAAGCACCGAATTGATAGTGAGGACAGGATCCTAGATTTTATTTTTCTCAGTGATATTATATTGCTGTTTTTTTCCGTATAAGATGGGAACAACTTTTAATCTCAAAATTGTATTTGGCAAGTTAATTATGTTTTTAAATTTTTAAGTCCTTTGAACTTCTTAGAGAAAGATAACATCAAAATAACATTAAACCTCTGTTTTCTCCTTAGCCTTCAGATTAAGTGTAATTTCAAACACTCAGTTTAAGTAAGTTGCTTATAGCTGTAGACGTACCTGATTCCCTGTTTGGTGATTTCATTTGATTACTCATTCAAACCTTTCCCTTATTAGCTAGATCGAATGTGTCCTTTGAACTGTTTCATTATCTTGGTAAAACAGCATTTATAGGTAGAGCCCAAACTCAGCCTCATTCTCTGCAGTAAGACAGACTACACTGTCATTTTCTTCTGTCACTTTCAGTTTACTTGACACAAAGGGCTGAAGCAGAAGAACTCAAATTAGTTATAAATCACAAAAACACTTCTTAGGATTGGGGTTCCACCAGAGCTTCATTAAACTACTCCTTCTCACTAAAACTGAAGCAAAATAATGTGGGAGTGTAGAGGTGAATGTCGATTTGATAGCCACAGTGTTAACATCATGTGGAACATGCATCCAGGCCTTTTAGAACTGTTTTTTTCTGTTATGAAATGATGCTAATTATCACTCCATGGCCCTTATCTATAAGTACTTGGTTGCTGTAAGAAGTGTTGACTAGGAATGTCTTTAAGATTGGAAACAGATACAAAAATAATAATTATACTGCCATTTTTTTATTGCTTACTATGTGCCAAGCAGTGTGTTTAGAATCTTTTAAACATTACTGAATTTAATCTTCATAGCAACTTTATGAATATTACCCTAATTTTAAAAATGAAAGAGCAGTAGCTTAAAGAGTTTAAACAGTTCCCCCAAAGTCTCACGGTTACTTAGGGCTGGGACCGGTACTGGGACCCAGGCTTCTCATCAAAGCTCATTCTCTTAACCATTATGCATACTGCCTCTTAGTAATATCAGTAACCACTGTCAGTTATTAAAGATCATCTATGTACTAGGAGTTACGTTAAGCTCTGCAAACTGCAACGTCATTTTACAGAATCCTATACAGAACCATGCAAGAATTGGTATTGTTAGCTTTTTCTTGCCAACAGATAGCTTCTTTTGTTAAGAATGAAACAACTTGTCTAAGATCACACAGACAATAAATTTTGGAACTGGGTTCAAATTAGGTCTGTCTGGATCTAAAGTATCTGGTGACTATTCTTAACAGTATCCTCATTACGTATCAGGTTATTGCTTAAGAACTCCAGATTTAGCACTGAAATCAGTATGGATTTTAGATACAAGGTCTTAAATTTTCAATTATGGTTCGTCTAGTAGCAATCTAATGTATATTAGACCTTAAACAAAGAGTGTCTATGTTCTGTACTGACAAGAAATGTGCCAACTTGATTTATAGTGTGTGTACATATATATATATATATGTATATATACACACATATACATATATTTAAAATACAGCTATTCCTTTCGTAGATATAAAACCAATTTGGTTTTAAAGCTAAATTCATTATTTTAAAATGGGAGTTCATTTGGTAATGGCAGTCTCTGGCATGCTGCCATGACTGATCTGTTCAACTGCTTCTCCTGAGAACTGGCATCTTCCCAAAGGGAAGCTCAAAATTCAGTTACTGTGAATCTGTAGATTACATGTATTGAAATAATCCCATTTTATTAGTTCCATAAGAGTCAAGTTATGCATATTGAGTTGTAGTCTATTAAGAACTAGTTCTACTGTAATAGGAACATATCTGTAAAATGTCTGTCATGTGTTTTATTTTTTAACCTTTTGCTGAAGCGCCCTGAACCCCTTTGACTCAGGAAACCCTCTAGTACACTAAGGAAGAAGAGGAGAGTGGAATTATTGAATGAATACTAGAACTGATGTATGTATGTGGCCATTGAGAAAGAGAGAGATAAACAATAAAGAATCCACAATAAAAATAATACAGAAACATGCTTTAAATGTATTGTTTTGGAGGCCACAGACTAATGTATAAATTATCTAGGTATTCAAATTGCTATGCACATAAAGTAAAAAGAAGTAAAATAATAGAACTGCTCTGAAATTACAAACTGCACCAGTATCATGTCCTTTACATAACACATTGAAAAACACTATGACTATATTAATTAATTCTCAGTCTGTATTTCTTAATCTTAGAGTCTGAACTAAATCTAAAGAACCAGATTAGATGTAAACTACTAGCTTGATCATATAGGCGTAGTGTAAAAATATTTTACAAAATGCAAGCTGTTGGAGGCAAAACATATATACATAGACCTGTGATTAAGGAAGAAAGATCCCCATAGGGTTATTTGTTTGGAGAATGTTTTGGATTTTTATTAAGACACCATAGAGAAGAATCTATGAAAAATGTAACACTAGAGACCAACAGGAGAAGACTTGGAGCCAGGGCATCTTGTAGTACCATCACGTTGGGTTTTCCAGTGGTGTGTCAGATAAGTTTAGAATTGCCAGTAACTGTGTCTGGTTGATTGCTTGCCACTGTAGGTGATTCTGAATTGCTGTGAGGATAGAACAGCCAAGGAGACAATGGAAAATTTGTTGCACAGAGTGACTAAAGAGAAGACCCTCCTGACTGCTGAGAGTTTGGTAAAACTTCTTCAGGTTGTGAAGATGACATTCCCAAATTTGTGCCTTCTGTTGGAGAATTTGCAGAAATTAGCCACTTCGCCAAGTACCACAGGTATTTGTTAATTGTTGACTCTCTGGACTGGAACACTCCTACAGAAAAGTATTGCCTAAAACGCCCTTTTGGCTCTACGCTGGGAGATAAGATAGTGTTAAGAAACGTCACTGTAAAGCAGAAACTTGTTGTTCTTGTTAGGTTCTGTCCAGTCGGTTCCAGCTCATAGTGACCGTATGTACAACAGAACGAAACACTGCCTGGTCCTGCGCCATCCTCGCAGTCCTTGCTATGTTTGAGCCCATTGTTGTAGCCGATGTGTCAGTTCATCTCGTCAAGAGTCTTCCTGTTTTTCACTGACCCTCTGCTTTACCAAGCATGATGTCCTTCTCCAAGGGCTGGTCCCTCCTGATAACACGTCCAAAGTATGTGAGATGAAGTCTCGTCATCCTTGCTTCTAAGGAGCATTCTGGCTGTACTTCTTCCAAGATAGATTTGTTTGTTCTTCTGGCAGTCCATGGTATATTCAGTATTCTTCACCAACACCATAATTCAAAGGCATCAGTTCTTCTTTAGTCTTCTTATTCATTGTCCAGCTTTTGTATACATATGTGGAGATTGAAAATACCATGGCTTGAGTCAGGTGCACCTTAGTCCTCAAGGTGACATCTTTGCTTTTTAATGCTACAAAGAGGTCTTCTGTAGCATATTTGCCCAATCTAGTATGCCATTCGATTTCCTGACTGCTGTGTCCATGGGTGTTGATTGTGGATCCACGTAAAATGAAATCCTTGACAACTTCAGTATTTACTCCGTTTATCATGATGTTGCTTTTGGTCCAGTTGTAAGCGTTTTTGTTTTCTTATAATTGAGGTATAAGCCATACTGAAGGCTGTAGTTTTTCATCTTCATCAGTAAGTGCTTCAAGTCCTCTTCACTTTCAGCAAGCAAGGTTGTGTCATCTGCATGGTTGTTAATGAATCTTCCTCCAGTCCTTGATGCCTCATTCTTCTTCATATAGTCCAGCTTCTCAGGTTATTTGCTCAGCACGCAGATTGAATAAGTATGGTGAAAGGATAACAACGCTAATGCACAGCTTTCCTGATTTTAGACTATGCAGTATCCCCTTGTTCTGTTCTAACAACTACCTCTTGGTCTGTGTATAGGTTCTGCATGAGTACAATTAAGTGTTCTGGAATTCCCATTCTTTGCAGTGTTATCCATAATTTGTTATGATCCACACAGTCGAATGCCTTTGCCTCGTCAATAAAACACAGGTAAACATCTTTCTGGTATTCTCTTCTTTCAGCCAAGATCCATCTGACATCAACAGTGATATCCCTCATTGTACATCCTCTTCTGAATCCTGCTTAATTTCTGGCAGTTCCCTGTTGAAGTACTACTGCAACCACTTTTGAATTACCTTCAGCAAAATTTTACCTGCATGTGATATTAATGGTATTGTTCAATAATTTCCACATTTCTTTCTTTGGAATGGGCACAAATATGGATCTCTTCCAGTCAGTTGGCCAGGTAGCTGTCTTTTCCAAATTTTTGGCATAGACAAGTGAGAGCATCCAGTGCTGCATCCATTTGTTAAAATATCTCAATTTATATTTCATCAATTCCTGGAGCCTTGTTTTTTGCCAATGCTTTCAGTCTTGGAATTCTTCCTTCAGTACCATCAGTTCTTGATTATATGCTGCCTCCTGAAATGGTTGAACGTCGACCACTTCTTTTTTTTTTTTTTTTGGTACAGCGACTCTGTATTCCTTCCATCATCTTTTGATGCTTCCTATGACATTCAATATTTTGCCCATAGAACTCTTTAAGTATTGCAACTCAGAGCTTGAAATTTTTCTTCAGTTCTTTCAGCTTGAGAAATACCGAGTATGTTCTTCCCTTTTGGTTTTCTAACTCCAGGTCCTTGCACATTTCATTATAATACTTTGTCTTGTCAAGCCACCGTTTGCAATCTTTTGTTCAACTCTTTTACTTCATTCCTTCCTTTTTCTCTAGCAACTCTATGTTTAAGAGCAAGTTTCAGAGTCTCTTCTGACATTCATTTTGGTCTTTTCTTTCTTTCCTGTCTTTTTAATGACTTTCTGCTTTCTTCATGTATGATGTCCTTGATGTCATCCTACAACTTATCTGGTCTTCAGTCATTAGTGTTCGGTGTGTCAGATCTGTTCCTGAGATAGTCTCTAAATTCAGGTGGGATATACTCAAGGTTGCACTTTGGCTCTTGTGGACTTGTTTTTTTTCTTCACCTTCAACTTGAACTTGCATGTAAGCAATTGATGGTCTGTTCCGCAGTCAGCCCCTGGCTTTGTTCTGACTGATATTGAGCTTTTTCATCATCTCTTTCCACAAATGTAGTTGGTTTGATTCTTGTGTATTCTGTCCAGCAAGGTCCATGTGTATAGTCACTATTATGTTGTTGATATAAGGTATTTGCAATGAATAAGTCGGTCTTACAAAAATCTATTATGCGATCTTCATAGTTGCTTCTGTTACCAAGACCATATTTTCTAACTACTGATCCTGCTCCTTTGTTTCCAACTTTCACATTACAATCACCAGTGATTATTAATGCATCTTGATTGCATGTTTGATCAATTTCAGACTGCAGAATTTGGTAAAAATCATCGGTTTCTTCATCTTTGGCCTCAATGGTTGGTGAATAAATTTGAATAATAGTCGTATTAACTGGTCTTCCTTGTAGGCATATTATCCTATCACTGGCACCACAATATGACAAACTGACAGACGAGTGGTGGAAGCAGAAACTAGCTGTCACAAATCAATGGTTCTCAATATTTCTGGAGTTAAGATCTGAAATCTGAGAATTGCTCTTCTCCATTAAGCTAGGTCCCTCACAATGTTCTTATCATTCAGGGTTTGTTAAAGCGTGGCTTTCCCAGGGCTGTCAGGCGTCACCTGTGAGTGCCCGAGGAGCAAAAGGCCTCAGGGTACATCCACAAAGCTCACAATTGCGACAAGCTATGTTGACAGATATGAGCAGCCAAGACTCAAACCACAATATACCCATTCCCACTTGAGTACTGATTGATTCTAGTAGTGCCCAGAATTAACTACCCTTCGTGTCCATTTAGCCTGGGGAAATGAGTCCATATCACATTTCTTAGAAAGACAATCCAACTCTAGTAGTTCTTCTCTATCCCAGAGCATTTGGGACTAAAACAGTTTGCAGAAAAAGGATATTTAGGAAATGGGAGAACTTTTTTCTAGCTTATAAAGGTAATATACCCTTATACAAATTTGGACAGTTCCAAAAATAAAGAAGAAAAGATAAATAACCTAAAATCCCACCACTCAAGTGTATCAGTATTAATACTTTGCCATATTAGATCTTTCACATTATTTTTACAATGTTGAGATATTACCATATTTTATAATTTCCCTCATGTAACAGTATAATATAAACATTGTGTCACATTTTAAAAAACTCTCCATAATCCTGTTTGTTGATGGCTATCTACCTTTCTCTCATAAGGATATATATATTACATATTAATTGTCCCCTTATTTGGGGACAGATGGCTGTAGGGGCAAGACTATCCATGTGTGCTTCAAAGACTATAGCCTTCAGTATGGATTGTACCTCAACATAAAGAAAACAAACATCCTTACAACTGGACCAGTAAACGATATCATGATAAACGCAGAAAATACTGAAGCTGCCAAGGATTTAATTTTACTTGGATCCACAGTCAATGCTCATGGAAGCAACAGTCAAGAAGTCAAACAACATATTGCATCGGGCAAATTGCTTAAAAAATCCTGTTAAAAAGTAAAATCTGTTAGGACTTCTGGCAAAATGGCGCTCTCGGCAGAAGCACCATGCCGTCCCTCCATGACAAAGATCCGAAAAACTAAGCCGAACAGAGAAAACAACAATCGTGAAACCCTAAAACATCAAATGAAGAGATAAAGAACTCAGCCAAGCACCAAATGGAGTGAGAAAACTGACAGAGAACGGAGGGTGAG